GGATGACTCCTCTTACGGCGAGATCGAATCTCTCGATTACAGGTCCGACTGATGGTGCGGTCTCCGCTTCGAAGTTGTCCCCGGATATTTTAGCCACGAACTCAGAGCTGATTCCGTGATCGAGGGACAACACTATCCGCCCGACACGAAATTTTATATGTATGGTCAACGAGTCATTTTTCCGGATAACACAATAGAATACGCCGACGGATCCTTCAAAATCTGTTCCACGGAGGATATCCGCCGGGAGGCGGCGGATGCTTCTCCCGTGAGTGGAAAACGCCGCCACGATGATATGGGACGTAATGGGCAGAGTGATACCCAGGCAGTCACCGTAGCTTCCCGATCACAAGGGGGTGATCGGCACATGTCGCCTTCCAAAGAGCAGCAGCGTCCGGCCAAGCGGGCGTGCCGCTGAGTGACCTGTGTCTGAGTCGCGGTCCCGGAGGGCAACAAGGGGGAGTCGCCGCGCATGATGGAGAAGTAAGGAAACTAGATTGCCAACTGGAGGGAGGATCAGGAACGGAATGTGTCTAATCGGATTCGAAGCTTAACGGATAGATAGGGTTTCTTTGAAGAAACGTCTCTTCGTCGCTGCTTGTACGTCGTCCATAGTGAGAAACTAAGGTGATATACTCGAAGTCAGCTGTTATGCAAGCACACTACCTCGTCGAAGTTGTCAAAGAATATGTGACGAGAATTGTGAGTGGACGTGAGCTCAAGCCGCAGTCTTTATTTGTCGGTGTTGTTGGAAGATGGATGTCGAGGTTGTTGTTTTGGCGTCGAGAAAGGATGTGGAGACACGCTAATATATGGTGGGTCTCCCGAAGCGCCCGGGCTTGTCATTGGCTGGGGTGTCTCGGGACAGGGGCAGTGGATTTGATCGACCGGTCATCCCCGGAATTTCTCTCCACAGTGCTGGGAAACTTGGCAACCTGGAAGGGACCTTGTCAATCTGTCAAGTTGACACCGCAAAAGCAATTGGAGTCCTGCTCAACAGCGGCCTGCAAACGATTATCGGAGGCAAGGCCTTCGTGACTTTTGACAAGGTACTCTTCTTCTGCGTTGACGTGGCCGAAAGGGTGCCAAGCAAAGCAGCCCAAGACATTGGACCAACAGATATCGGTTGGCTGCACAAGGCGCCACGAGAGCTCAGCTCTTCACTGTCGTCCTTCGGACTGGACTTCTAGACCTACTTTTGCTTTTTCACCTCCTCACGACGCGTCGGCCTGGGTTACCATCTCTACTCCCTCGTCAAGTCGAATGGCTATCTGAATATATCATTTGAGACTGGAGTGATTGAGCTGCACCAAGAAACACCCTCATCTGGAAGACAAAGCTCGTCAAACCTTTTCGACGGTACCATGAGGTTCGGCCACAATTTCCACCGGTATGTCATCAATGACTGGCGCCGGGAGTATGTCGACTACAATCTTCTGAAGGATCTTGCCAAAACTCCATCAAACGGTAAGGTCTGGGTTGACCCCTTTGCTTCAGCATCGCACTGACCCAGTCTAGTGGACAAGGTCTATGAGGAGTTGCAAGCCGGTCACCAGAAGGTGCTGTCTTTCTTCAGGTGGCGATTCGGGATCTGGCAGTCGACGGTAACCGAGTTCTGCAACATGTTCGGCATAGATTATACCAGACCAATCCCCAATGCCGAGCAAGTGTGCCCCTTTGAGTTGACACTGATACTTGACACCATCCAAGAGTTCGAGGAAGAATTGCACAGACTGGTCTGGTACAGCAGGGTCAATATGGATGCCGTGGATAGGATTATCCAGAAACTCGAACGGCGCGGTCACGCCGAGAATCCTGCTCACCGCAGGACTGTCGACGACTGGCGGCGGCTACAGACTGAGAGGGTCACGGAAGCTTCAAGAAGCTATTACGGCGTCGTAAACATGATTCAGACAACTGAGAATGCTCTGTCTGCCGATTCACGACGAACCAAGGGGAAGTCCTTGTACCTCCACCGCGCCATGAACCCACCCCCTTGGTCCGGGCTGTTTTCATGGCAGATCTACCGGACTATCCAAAAGGGGGACTTTCAGTTTGTGGTCGAAGCAATTGCTTCCAAAAACTCCATGCCAATAGTATCGGATCGGCAGCTTCAAAGCCTCGCCGGCGACTTGTTCAGATACGCCGTCATGTTTTGGCCAGAACAGGCCAAAGCCTTCTTGTTCCTGGAACCCTCGCCGGAGCAGTTTCTCATCGACTATGAGGTCCTGAAATGGGGAATTTTTACAATGGGGGCGCGGAAAAGGAGACCTCGGGGTCCTCGGCGGGATCACTCACCGATTCAAACTCAGCACTTCCGTGACTTGTTAGATGCGTGTACGGAGCGGCGCACTGAGGTTCTTCTGGCCAAAGACGAGTTTGGCCGTTTGCCGGCGCATTACGCCGCCATATATGACCTTTCCTGGGCCCGGGGCGATGCCTCGAATAGAGACTGCTCCTGGTTGTTTTTGCTACCGGCCCTAGACGCTCTCGAGACAAAAGAAGACGAAGACCTCACCACCCCTGGAGCACGGTTCAAGGACATCGATGGGTTAACACCACTCGACATAGCCGTTAAACACGACTATACAAACTTGGGGCAGTTAGAGACATTGGCTGCTCTCGACCGCCATTTGCCTCGGTCCGTATTGGAAGAAGCTGCAGGGAGAAACATGCCCAATGCTTTGATGGACCACGGCAGTGCCTTTTGCTGCAAGACTTTGGCATCCCGCCTGGGTGGCGTAGCGGGCCTGAGAAGGTTGGGTTGCGTGGGCGAATTTGTCCGTGCAGCTGCCCAGGTTGGATGCATGGATGCCATCGGATATCTACTCGGTGAAGATGTGCCACCAGACCAAGAATCTAGGAGCGTCCTGACAAAGTCTGAAGATAACGGATGGGCGGATAGTCGAGGTTGGACACCTCTGTTTCACGCCTGCGCTCAGGGTCACTACGATGTTGTGGAACGTCTTTTGAGCATCGAGGGTCTGGCTAGTCAGACGAGGACTGATAATCTCGGCTGGACTGCGAAAGAGTACGCAGTCCTCAACGGCCATCTAGCTGTCGCTGCATTATTCGAGCCTTCATCCCTTTGCGATATGAAGGACGGACCTGGACGTGTGCCTGCAGATAAAATCACCAACCAAACGGTCCATTGCCCGGAAGGCGAGCGGATCATCATTGCAAGTCTAGGCAGCGAGCGTTTAAACGAGGAAGTCACCGGCGTTGACCTGCTCTACTGCTCCTCGGACCACAAGCCTCCTACTCTCGAGGGCTTGGCGTACGCACTGGAGGTCTCCGCACCAGGAACCAGGGGAGGGCCGCATGTAGTACGACTGCCCATTCTGGACGACCAAATCAATTGCCCTTTTGTCTTTTCAGTTCCCGCTGGGGTCGAACCGAAGCTGATGTTCAGGATTATCGACGTTGTCGCTAAGGCTGAAAACGAGGAGTTTATTTTGGGGAGTGGCATGGCTTTGCTGGAAGGCAATACCAGGCAGTTTGGCCCCAGTCGCCAGAGTCTCATCCGCGAGCAGACGATTCCTATCATCGACCACCGAGGTGAGGAGACCTGCGATGGTACGGTGACGTTCACCTACATGGTCGTGAACCACTTCCCACATCTACAGACGCCCTGTGAAGTCGACCTCGTGCGAAAGGCCACCGAGCCACCACTCCTGGTCGGTCATCGCGGCCTCGGAATGAACTTGAAAACACACGAGTACCTCCAGATTGGGGAGAACACGGTCGAGTCCTTCCTCTCCGCCGCAAAGCTGGGTGCGTCGTTCGTCGAGTTCGACGTTCAGGTTACCAAGGACCACGAGGCGGTGATCTTCCACGACTTCTCACTGAGCGAGTCGGGCACTGACGTCCCCATCCACGACCTCACGCTCGACCAGTTCATGTACGCCAGCAACATCCAGTCTCCCCACGGCAACCCCTTGTCTGTTCTCGGTCCGACCCATTCGCGGGATGAGCCGGACCGAAAGCGCGGGCGCTCCCGCTCGGTAGGAGGACACTTCGAAGCCGGCGCCATCCAAGTGCGGGACAGGATGAAGCACACGGTCGACTTCAAACTCAAAGGCTACAAACCCAACACCCGCGGCGACTTCGTCCAAGACTCATTCGCTACTCTCAAGGAACTCCTTGCCCAAGTACCAGAAGACGTCGGCTTCGACATCGAAATCAGTTTGTCCCCCTCTTCCCACCATTGCCACCACATCAACCCATCCCATGCACTAACATCAACAGAATACCCCCGCCTCCACGAAGCAACAGCAGCCAACGTCGCCCCCGTCGCAATCGACATAAACACCTTCGTCGACACCGCCCTCCTCGCCCTGCACGAGCACGCCACCCCGAACCGGCGCATCATCCTTTCCTCCTTCACGCCCGAGATCTGCATCCTCCTCTCCATCAAGCAGAAGGCCTTTCCCGTCTTCTTCATCACCAACGCCGGCAAGGTGCCCATGATCGACATGGAGCGCCGGGCCGCGAGCGTGCAGGTGGCCGTGCGGTTCGCGCGGAGGTGGAACCTGACGGGCGTCGTGTTCGCGTGCGAGCCGATGTTGCTTTGCCCCCGGCTGGTGGGGTATGTCAAGAATAGAGGGTTGGTGTGTGCGACGTACGGGGAGCTGAATAACATGCCCGAGAATGTGAGGATTCAGAGCGAGGCGGGGGTTGATATCATTATTGCTGATCGGGTGGGGCTGGTTGCGAGGACGCTGGCTGAGGAGGGTGTATCACTGGGGGAGGTGATGAATTGAGATTTGTTAGCGACAAGCCTGCAAAGATGTTGCGTGGTGTAGACCTAATGACTTGGGTTGTGTGTGGCACGGCGTTGGTGGATCTGCAAACATATAACGAAGAACATGACGCCAAATACAGCAATAAAAAGGGACACGACAACCACGTTCGAACTAAATACTAATGAACATCGCTAACTGCGTACCGAAAAGAAGCAGGGCTGAGTGCAATTTTTCGCAAAAAAGTGCAAAAATAGTCGTCTAGGACAGGATTCGAACCTGCGCGTCCGAAGACATGACCTGAGCTTTCTGATGATAGCAGGGTCACCCGTTAACCACTCCGGCACCTAGACTGTATTGGTTTGTTGTTCGATGACAAAGCAAGTCATTCATTCACTTGATAAGGTGCCCGCAGTTCTTGATCCGATGAGGTGGGCGCAGACTGCAGGTTCATGACTCGAGTTTGGATGCCCGGTAAACAAAAATGAGGCGGGCAGGTGCAGGAGTTTGGAGAGTCCAGCCGGCAGCACCTGCCACTCGTGTTCCCTTCCCAATTCCAACTCGCACATCCCGCTGAAAGAGTCACGGGATGAGAGGGCAATGGTACAGAAATCTTGCAGACGACTTGCCTGTATATGGCAGGACTGCACGAAGCATACCTTTCTCGGGCAGACGCTGTACTATGAGCCGGCTGCGTCTCCAGGGCGGATATCCGGTCCGGTACCTCGAAGACCAAACCCCATACCACAACCAGTCAGGGAGGCCATCCCATGCTTCGACATGAGAGAATCCGGTTCGGAATGCGCTTGGAGTATGGTCCTTTCTATAGGTTGCTTCGAGTCGTGGCGCCTGAGACAGTGTCTGAAAGGCCGGTGGCCTCTGCAGATACTTCGCCGTACTTCACAGTACAGGCCTTGCCTTTTTGATCGAGGTATTGCGGCCCGTGTCGAAGTATGCTCGGGTCCAGAGCTGGAAGGATATGTCCTCAGCCGGCTGACGAATTTTGATACTCCCTGGAGCTTGTGTCCCCCAAGGATCGGCGACGGTTGTTAATGATGAGCCGGCTCCGATCATAGAATCCCCCTGTTCCTTAAGATTCCATTTTTGAGTTGTTGATTATACCAACCTGGCGCAAATCTTTGTCATCTGTGTCGCGAGCGGCGGAGAGGTATATTACAGCCGGGTCCGTATCATCACGGTCCTAACCCGTGCCAGCGTGCCCCTTATGGGATTACTTACCAGCCAAGACATCAATTGCTAGCGATGCTACGTGAGTTGATCACTTATTCGGGGGCCTTGAGAGGCGAGAAAATAAAGAATTGGGGCAATGCCACTGAAATGATTCTGAAGAGTTGAATTAACGTATCTGATAAGCGAGCGGATCAGACAAGCGAGCGGATCAATTTCTACTCCCCTACTACAACTATCCCTAATTGTAACACATCAACACTAGGAACTCACTACAATTATATCAGAAGCAACTGAATCAGATGATTCCGTAGCCTCCTGTCAAGTGCGTGTATTATGGCCAGGCTTGCCACACATACCACAGTACCGAACCTTCGTACGACCCCCCCCCGCACCACTACTATCTGGCTGCGTTTCTTGCACTCCTTCCCCACCCACGGCCTTCTGATGTAGTAGATTATGTGCATCTTGTATAGCAAGTGACCCTCCAAGCCGCACACGTGTTTTCTTGGCTCGCCGGCGTTTACTTAGTGCCTCATTCGCCTTACGGAGTGAAGAGTTCTCTGCGCGAAGGAGAGCTACCTGGTGCATTATAGCTATTGTACCCTTGGTAAGCTGGTCTATAGTAGCTAATATTGAAGTCGGGGAGCTATTCTGATGGTTGGTAATGCGAGTCTTGATGAGCGTTGACTGCGAGTTGGCTTCTCGGGGGTTGTGTGGTGTCTGGAAGACCTAAGGTTGTGGAGTGCCGGCGCGTGAGTTCAGGGGTGTTGGCGTACGGAGCTTTACGTCCAGCTTGGAAAGTACCCTTTCTGGATCATACGGCACAAGGCTAGCACTAGCAAAGCCACTCTATATGTTCTTCTCCGTTATGGAGGCAAAGAAGGCCTCGCGGAAGGCACAGAGAAACTCGAGCTTGCTTACGTGGTTGATGTGCGCGCGCATCAAGTCCTCAATCTGGCGACCGTACGCCTGCTTCAGCGGCCCAAAGTAGCTAACATCGAGTGGCTGGAGGTAATGCGAAGAATGCGGAGGTATACAGAGCGTGATGATGTTGTTCTGCTGGTAGTAGAGCTCGAACTCAGTCGAGTGGTGGCTTTCGTGGCCGTCGAGGATTAACAACCGGTGTTTGCCCTTTGTCCGGGACGCTGTATGGTAGTCGAAGTGCTTGATCTAATCGAGGCCTACGGCATTGGTAGTCTAGCTATTATCGGTCGTTGCGATACGCCAGTCAGCCGGGAGGTTACACTTAGTGTACTAGTTGGCAAGGTGGTATTGCGCGGCCAAGATGATGAAAGGAGGAATAGACTAGCCGAGGGCATTGACTCCCTGGATTACTGTTGCCCATTCCCGGTTGCCTGGCTGGGCTAGCTTTGCTTTGCCACGGCCATCCGAGGTTGTAACAACCATGCCGGGCAAAATGATGCCTATTATGAACCCAGTCTCGTCGAAGTTGTAGACATCGTCGTCCACAATACCGTACTTAGCCTTTATATTCCGTACGAGCGCAAACCACTCGCTAATGACCTTTGGATCCTCGCACTTGGCCCTCTGGTAGTCATATCTACGCGTATAACGCGTACGGAGCTCTGGTTGGCGTTTGACGAAGTTGTGCGCCCAGCGTTTGCCAATAGGGGGCGCGTCGCGTACGCGTAGCAGTTAGTTGGCCATATCTTCCACACCAGACAATCTAGGAGGGAATGCGCGTGTATCTAGCTCAATTATGTATTGAACTATTACCTTCTCTTCTAAATCCGTGAGTTTGCGTGAGTTGGCTGGGATATCGCATCGTGCGGGCCGGCCAGCACGCCGGCGATGGAGGGTAGTATAGGGCACAGAATAGATCCTTGCTGCAGCCTGGAGGCCTAGCTTAGCGTCTTTTTCAAGAGCTTCAAGTGCGAGAACAACCTTTGCCTCGACTGGAATTGAGGACATCTTAATGTGGTGGAGGAAATTGATGTTGGAAGTAGAGAGACGCGTGGCGCACGAAATTGATCCGCTCGCTTGTCTGATCCGCTCGCTTATCAGATACGTTATACGAACTTCGTCAACGTGTATTACTGATCAACCACCGGGCGTCGTGCAGGACAGGAGGCGCCATCGGACCATCGTAAGGCAGTGTAATCCTTTCTCCTTTTCCATGCCTCGAGAGCGGTCAGAATTGGATCTGCTATTTAAGTAGACCATGATGCCCCTTGGGAAACTGAAGAAACATCAACGAGCATCTGACAAGCATTGAGCTCCCGGCCATCAGCGTTGAGCAGCAAACGAAAAATCTCTCTACACTTCTTACACCTGCAGCCTCTCCAGCATGAAGGCCAGTACTCTCCTCAGCATGGCGCTGGGCTCCTATCTCTCCGGGAAGACGCTCGGCTCGGTAGCAATCGGTACCTTCGACAACGGCATCGACAGAAAGACTTATGCCGGTATGACGGCTCAAAGCCCAGAAACTTCCAAATTGCCGAACAAATTACTGACTCCTTTTGCAGCCGCTTGGATCAACGAGGCAGACCAGGAGCAAGTGTGTGGCAACGGGGCAACGGCCCTGCCGGCGGTCTTCGGTTCCGGGACCGACTTCTGCAACCACACGTTCAGGCTGTCCAACGGGTACACCTACGTCCTGCGGGGTTGCGGCGGCGGGACCCTGACGCTGCAGCACGGCGACGGGTCGTTCAACTCTGTCTGCCGACAAGCCGGTGACAACTTCAGCGGCTACTGTGGAATCCACAGGATATGGGTATGCGGTTGAGTAAAGGCTCTCACACTTCGGGCGTGTTGGTTATAAATGAGTGTACGGGTTTCTTGATGGACAGTTTTGACTAGGATATCTGGGTCAGGGCGACACTGTTCCTTATATGCCCGTTGAGGAGCCTTGGTGCTGGTACATCTAGATCATACCCGTGACCTATCTTGCAACGTATGGATCCTCGTTCAAAGAGTCATGGTCCAAGAGTCTCGTTCCAGAGTCCTCGTTAAAGAGTCCATGTAAACTAGCTCACCGAAGAGGTCGAGTCTCAGCAATTCTGTACCTACGAGTATAGTCCACCCCGCGAATCCGTAAACCCCCTGCTATAGCATAAGTTTACGTTCCGGTACTAGTTCCATTGCGCTCTTCAACTTCATAGAGGTTCAGTGTTCATGACTGACTGGAGACAAGGGAAATGATAAATCAACGATGGTGAATTACACGAGCGAGAGTTAGAAGATGGTTTCAGGGGAAGCTATGGCGGCGAGGCATAACTGCCTACCTATCATTGAGTGGTGCCCAGTTCTATCAGGATGGCCTACAGAAGACCTTGTAAAGAACTTACAGCTCATCGTGTCCCTCGCTCATCTTCGGTCCCGTCTTTGCTCCCCTATTTGGTCCTAATGCAGCCTTGATCGCCATCTTACCCAGTCCATCAAGCCAGTCCCGCTTGCCGGGCGTCTTTCCAGGGCCACCCGCCGCGGTCATTGCACCCAGCTTCTTCGTCGAGGCTCTACTACCCAGGATTGTGTTGCCGCCGCTTTTGACGCCTGTCCATACGGCTTGGACAGCCTTCCTATCCAGAGGATCCATCTTGCGTCCAGGTAGCCACGGGACGGGAGGGCCAGGCTCAAACATGCCGTCGAGAAGCTCCGGCCAGGCATAGCGCTTTCGAATCTCTTCTTCCGCCATCTTACACGCTTCCGGCTCGTAAAGATTGACTGGACAGAGGGGAGAATACTGCTTCAGCGCTGCAAAGTCGTCTTTCCACTCTGGCGGCACAGGCGTTGAGTCGCGCTGCTCTTTCCAGTTTTTGCAAAAGGCGGCGCCGTAGAATCCAATGTCACAGACGCCACGACGAAGGAGATCCTCGGCATCCTCCATGGTCATCTCATCGTCAAGTATGGCGTCTGGATCGATAGTCTTCGCACCAACCGAACGCCACAGTTTCCGTTCTTCGTCTTCCTGACATCGTTCCATGGCCGACTTGAATGTCTCGTCGCGTAACATAGGCGTTACTAACAACATATCCTCAAGCGGCTCGGTACTCTGCAATATAGGCTCAAAGACCTCAGGTTCCGTTGGTTCGAATTCCGGCGGCTCGGTTTCTGGCTCGGGAGTCCATGGCTCGGGCTCCTTTGGCTCGGGGGTCGGGTTCCCGTGGGGATCGGTATGCTGACCTGCTGCATTTCTGCAGGA